TTTCATGAGCAATCCAGTAATCCCACCCCTGCCTCCAATATCTAGATGAGTCTGGCCTTGTGGACAGGACATGGATGCTTAAGTTGCTAGTTGTAAATGTAAGATATTATCCTTCTCAGTGACATAAGCTATTTCTCTTTCTAAAAGAAGACTTTATCCCCCAGAGAGATGCATATCTAGGGAATTCTGTGCACTCAAAGCTTAATGTGCCAAGATTAATTACAATGGGAGATCCTTAAAAATTTTTTTTACTTATTTATTTTTATTTAATTAATTTAATTTTGTCAGGGAGAGGGAAGTAATAAGTCTATTTATTTATTTACTTTTGGAGGAGATACTGGGGATTGAACCCAGGACCCTGTGCATGCTAAGCATGCACTCTACCACTTGGGCTATATCCTCACCTTTACCACTGGAAATCCTTGATAAGCCTCTTCTAATCATAGTTACAACTTGCTCGTATATCTCACCTAATTATAGCGACAACTACAGAGACTATGAGTATAATTTAGCCTTTGAAACATTTTTCTGATGGTGTAATGGGGTTATGGAAATTTGCTGCTCCTGGAAAGACCACCTATTAAATTAGCATTTTGGCAACATGTTTGGGATGGGCATTCCAGGCTAGGCTCTAACCCCTTTTAAGAATAGAGTAGAGACCTAGGAATACAATGAATAAAGGAAACAGCAGAGGGTCTTGCTTAAGACATTGGGCTTTGGGATCAGGCAGCTCTGAGATTCAGTTCTCACAGTGGGATCTCAAACAAATTACTGTCTATGTCCCGTTGTTCTCATATTAAATTAATGGCAATAATAACATTGATTTCACAACATGTGAAGGTTAAACATGATAAATGTACATAAAGTGCTTAGTACAAGATATTTAGAATGTAAGTTGTTATTATAATTAATATTTTAATAACATTATTGACATTATAGTTTCCTTCTAAGCAATTCTTCTCTTGTTCCTCTTTTTAGGGCTTCAGACTTTTCTGGAACACAAAGACCTTGGGGATATATTTGTGTGCCTTTTTTCACCGCATTTTGTGTATAGATGCAATCCAGACAACATGAACACCTAGGACCAAAGAGGTCTCAACTTCTTGGGGACCAAATGGGAAATCATCTTGTCTTGATAATAGCTGGGGAATGGATTCTGAGTTCACTGCTTGCTGATGTATAACCTCAATGTTGTCTTCTCTCTGAAAAATTAGGCAACAGAATTATATCTCATTTAGGCCATGGGACCCTGAGTCCAGTACAGTAAGAGAGGTCTCCCAGAACACAGACCCAAGTTTTCCCTCTTTCACCTACTCTACTCACCCTTTTGAGCATTTATACTCTGTCTCTTATGGGACATAGGGACTGAATTCTGCACTGGAAATCTACAAAAAATCCATGACAATCATCTAGTAAGTTTAAGAAGCTGGTGAGGTTTGATGGTTCTGAGACATAGCATCCAGTTCCAAATCCAAAGCCAATGTAGATTAGAGCCGGATGTGACCCTGCTAAATCTAATGTATGCAACACAAAACAAATGCCTCCTGCCTCACAGGTGTTATGATGGGCAAAACTGAGCCTTCCCTGCCACAATTTGGCATCAGCAGCAGCACAAAAAGCAGAGAAGCTTGTTATTTTTTTAAAGAGAGGTTCTTGCATGGCATCTCTGAGTGGGCTTCTGGGATGCCATGTCCCCTACTCTGCTTTTCCCCCAATAGAAGGCATAGGTCTCCACTGGTCTCCACTCCACCATTATGACAAAGCCCACTGGAACATTAGGATCAACCCAGAGGCATCTGGGAGTTGGCAGAATGGTTAGAAATGTGCGATCTGAAAGGATAATGACATGAGGAGTCCGTGGTGGAGCCCCATGATCAGCTCTCAAAATCAGATTGGAAGTTCTCCTGGTGGGAACAGAAACAAAAGTGATTGTATGTATAAGTCCCCACTTCCTGTCCTACATATTCTAATGTGTGTGTCTTTCCTTCTTCAAATCCATAACCCAGACAACACCCAGGCATAGGAAAGTCATGCTCATGGCATTGGCTCTGGGAAACTTCAAAGTGACATCCCCAGATGCTGGCAGAGTGCATTTGGCTGTAGTGTTGGGTACATTATTCATTTGAATCCTTGACCTGTGTGTGCATTTTTATAAAGAGGATCCTCCAGAGGGCAGCAGAGAGCAGTCCTGTGGCCCTG